CCTGGGTACAATGTCTGTATTGGCTACAGTACAACATCATACTGTTCGCACCCATAGACGACCAATTCATGGTGATGTTATTGGGCGACTGGAACCGCTTGATTGGCCTCCAGTCCCACTACAAAGTCGGCGCCATTATATTCTGTACGCTAAACCTGAGCATACATTTCATATACCGGTATAATAGGGCGCAGAGTATTGAACCCACATTTTTGCGGGTGTTTCGTGTGATGGCCGGGTTGGGCACACCGGCAGGTGTTGGGCTCACTACCGGCCATACTGTGCGCCAGTATATGGGTTCAGCTCATAGGCTATTCCGTGTGTTTCGGTTCATTATATTCAAGACAATACCCCCGATGGGACTGATATGTTTCGTACCCTATCTCATCACCTGTCCGTTCATATATACCCTAGTGTTTGGCGTGCCCTACAGCCTGTTCATGTCATTGGTTGCCTATCAGTCCTTTGGCATATGTTTGTGGCATTTGTTGTACTTTTACCTAATGTGCGAATACCTCAAGATTAAGATCCGATCACTTAATGAGACCCTATGGACAGTGAATACAATGCGTGAGTCCATAGACTTACTGCACAAATACGATCACTTGTACGGAGAGATCAGTGAATATAATGCTAAGTTTTGGTCAAAGTTTTTGTTCAGCTGTTGGTTAATGTTGGGCTCAGTGATAATGTTGGGTACTTTTATCATTTTGTTTTTGGAGTTTGAGTGGCTCAGCAAATTAATCCTGGTCTATATGATAGTGATAATGGTGGTCGTGTTTGCCATGATTATAATAATAGCATCGTCTGTAAACAGCGAAGTCAATAATTCATATAAGCAGTTAAATGAATATTACATAACCAATTATAATACGTCCCGAAGTGACTACGAGCTTAGATTAGTTGTTAAGCTCAAGGTAAGTTTTATTTAATAAAATTATATTTATTACTTCATTTTCTAAAGTTAATAATTTTAACTTCTAAATAGAATTATGTTTTAGTTATTTTAATAATTTGTAAATTAAATTTTATCAATTATTTTACTAATTTTGTTAAAATGTTTATAATATTTATACAGTATTTATTTTTTAAAATAATAACCATGTGTCTTTTTTATTTATTTAATAACTTTAGTTATTATCGCTTATTGAGCGCAATGGTAGGCGTAAAGTAGGATTTTCCTGTTGGAGATTGTTCATGATCAATTATATTAGATGTTGTGAAGTATGCTTAATTATTTAATTTATTAAAATATGTTTACTAACATATTACTTGTCTTATTTATAGATTATATCATTAATGGCATTACTATTTTTAAAATTGGTAGATATGTATTTAAATAAAAATCATCACCTAGTATAATATTTTATAAACTAGTAAATTTCTATACATAAATAAGCTAGCAAATATTTGTATTTATTTAACATACTGTAACTATAAATTATTTACTTGTATATGTTTCAATAGAATATTAAGATAACAAATTTAAGGTATCAAAATTACAGTTTGTATATTTACTAATTGTAAATTACAGTACAATAAATAAGTTTGTTTTTACCGATCGACATTATTAAATATTGTGTAGACATGTATCATAATTATTACAAGGTTCTTCTTTATATAATTTCTTAAATTGCTTTTACAGATCACTAAATGATATAAGGTAGTTACCAATAATGATTACCTGGTTGTTAACAACAATTAATATCATTTTCAATACAATAGATAATTGTATTTAATAATTATATAATCAAATGCATAACTTAATAATTATGCTAAAACTTTAATTAAGAGCTAATGTTATGAAAACTTGTACCATAATTACTTTTAAGTTGCAAAGTTACTTTTTGAATTTTAATTGAATGTTATGTAACTTGTGTAAAAGTACACTTATATTAAAACTTTATAAATTGATTTCTTTTAATTAAAAACATCTAAATGTTCAAGGTTCTATTGGTTTTAATTTTTATTTTATTTAAGACAAATAATATGTTTTTTGTTTACTTATTAAAATTAAATTTAATATTGTAAAAATAATTATTATAATTCTTATTATATTCTGTGGTATTTTTATGCCATTTATATTTTAAAACTTACGGTATTTTACTTTTTTTCAATGCATATAAATATAATATGTTTTATTTTATAACAAGTAGACTATTTTAATTAAAAATTTTCAGACATTATTTTGTGTAATTATCACTAAAATACAATGAGAACATAGATGTAATAAAAATATACATGTACATATATGAACTAAAATTTATTAATTAACCTTGGCATTGATATCCTTAATGATTTGGGCAAATGATATTAAAACTCAAATGATATTTCTAATTGAATTCTTATATATAATTAATTTGGTTAATTAACTTAATTAAAAAGGTTAACTAACTTCATTAGCAGATATATTACAAATATTGCTTAATCTCATAATAGTTTATATTAATACTATATAAATTATAAAGAATTAATATATGAATGTTATACTTTCTTACAGTAATATGATAACAATTACCATGAGCAGTTACAGCATCTTTACGTTACATTATTTTGCCCTAAATTTCAAAAAGTGTGCCATATCATGAACTTTTTATTATACATTATGCAAAATAATTTATTTAATATACATTTTACTGGAATAAAAATTATAGTATTATAGACAATTTACACTTGTATATTTAGTGCAATATATGGCTAATAATTTACAGTATTATAAATAAAGTGCTTGCAATTTATTTAAATAAAGTACTTGTAATAGTACCACTTAATGGTGTTATAGCAAAAACTATAATTAAATGACCATAGTGCACCACATTAGGGCGATGTAATAATTGCATAAGGTTACCTTGAATAATTTTATGTAATAAAATGTAAAATAATTTAGCATAACCATAATTAGAATTCAATTACATGTCTAAAATCATTATGAAATCCACCATTACTTTATATGTAACCATCATTAAACATGTGCACATACAATACAGAGTACTTGATAATTATCTACCATGTACATTGTGCGGCATAATGATAATCGGTAATTATGGTAAAATTTAGTCTCAAAAAACTCATTAAATATATGTAATAATGATGTGCGAGAACTCACAGACTTATTAATTACAAGTATATAATTAAATATAATACATTAATATTAATATATACAGAGAGTGCAAACCAGTATCAGTTAATCTATCTGATAGTAAAGCACCTGCCACATTCAACCACCACCAACCTGTTAATTCACCATAGTGCGTGCCTAAACACTTTAAAAAAAGTTACCATGTCGGGGGTTAAATTTGTATTTGAAAAGGACATCAACGAAGAGATAGATAACGACGAGGTAATCGTATGCAAGGAACTTCTCCCGGAGCACCTGCAGGTGGGGCCGGCCGCTCGTAAACTGTCCGAAATAGGCCTATACATACCGAACGCGCCAAAAAACACCATACGCAAATGGTACTCAAATCCGCACTTGATCTCGGTGGTACTCTATCTGCACCTAATACAACAATCATTTCTACTAATGTTACCTGGTCATTATCGTACGGCGCACATTGTGCTAGGTGATTGGAGCGAACTCATAGGCATAGGTTACCACTTTAAGATCGCGGCCACTTTCTGGGGCACATTCAATATGGCTCAGCACATGATCTACTACTACAACATTAATATCGGTATCGAACCTACATTTATGGGCGTATTTGAGATGATGTCCGGCATGTGTACGCCCAACAGTGTCGGCCTATCCGACCCGCACACCGTATTCAGGCTGATGAAAATAAGCCGGGTACTATTTCAGCTTACCGGCTACATTTCCAGCTACCAGGCCCTGGTGCCGGTCACAATCCTGGTGCTTTTTGCCTACATGTTTAACACCACGATCATCGAGACCCTGCTGTTTGGTATACCCAACTCGATATTCTTCGGCGTGTGTTGTTATTATCACTTTCGGATCAGTTTATGGCACTTGAATTACTTCTACCTCATGTGTTTGTATCTGAAATTTAAGATACAGACACTGAACCAGATCATTACGGAGCTGATCACGTGCAAACGATACAATTATTTTATTAACATGTATAAAATACTGCACTCAATCAATCGGGTCTACATCGAGATCAATGATTATAACCATAGCTATTGGTCAAAGTATTTGCTATCGGTATGGCTATTGTTGGGCTCCGTGGTCATTTTTGGCATGTTCATCGTGCTCTTTCTAACATTCAACGCGTTCACCAAGCTAATCTTGGCCTACATGCTCATCATTATAATCTCGTTGTTTTTATTTATCATATTCACGGCTTCATCCATGCATTCAGAAGTGAACAACTCTTATAAAATTTTACGTCAGCTGTATTTTTATCAAATTGAAAACACCCTGTTTAAAACGCGCAAAAATTTTGTGTTAAGCTTAAAGGTTTGTTTAATAAATGAAACATTAATTGATCATAATTGTTAATTTAATTTATTTTAACTTATAGTTAGTTAATTTGATGGAAAGGGCGAGCGAGAGGTCTGTGGGGTTCATGTGTTGGCGATTGTTTGTTGTCAACTATTTTCGCTGTTATGAAGTAAGTGTTTATTAATTTATATGACACTAATAATCATAGTTATTAACTAAATATTTTTATCATATATTTTATAGATAATCGCGATTCTTGTGGTACTGTTTATTAAAGTCATTGAATTGTCATTTCATTATTAGAATTATTGAATATTTAAAATATTACATAATTTTTTACATATTTTATAAATAATAGTAAATTATAATAGGCTTTCAATTGTTATATTTAGGATTTAATAAATTATTAAATTAGAATATTGATTTAATTAAATAATGTTTTATGTAGGTGTATATAATGTTAATAATTAATAAATTTATTATTATAGATAAATTATATTAGAAATAAACAATTATAATTTTTACAAATTAAATCACTGTATTTATAAATTATAACAATTAATTACTGTTAAATATTCATTACAAATAACTTATTATTAAATATAAATAATTAAATGTTAATAGAATTTAATTTTAAATAATTATTTAAATTGTATGAATTTCTTCAGCAAATGGCAATTGGTATTTATTTTCAGATATAAAAGTATAATTTATTGAATTTGTAATGTTTTACTATATTTACAATAACCATATTTAATTGTATTATTTCTGTAAGTGGATGATGGTATTCTGTCATATAAACTTACGATTAAAGCACGTTTTAAACGCTGACATCCAATAAATAAGTCATTAGTAAACAACACATTCTTATCAAATAGAGCCGTAATTTTCAAATATTTCAAACTCTTTAAACAAACATTAATTGTCTCAATAGTGTCTGCTTTAATCACAAGCGTATCGTTCATATACTCCACATTTACACTGTTTAGCGTAAGTTTCGTAAGTTTCGGACAATTCGTACCGATTTTTTGCAACCCTCCGGCCAAGTGTTGGCTCACATTATAATCGCCGCCAATCACTAACTCATTCAATGCCGGCATTTGTGATATACTCGCCAACAGTTTGATAGCCTCTTCGCCCGAACCAAATCCCACGCAAACTTTAAACGACCGTAATTTATGGCCATAATGTTGAGCGAATCTATTCATATCAAACCAATAGGTTATGCTTTTAAATGTTCTGATTGGATAGACGATCGACATGTCGGTGATTTTATCGTAACAATTTGTTTGATAATTATTGAATAGTATGGCAAATAAATCATTATGGTATTGATTAGTCATGTTATGATATTTTGATGGAATAATATTGACTGAGAAACTTTTAATATTGTTACACATTTGAAGCATTTTCACAAAGTATAGTTGTTTATGAATCAAGTCGTCATTTATGGAGATTTTAATTGATTGCAATTTTTGACTAAAATGTGCAATAAATTTGTCGTAATTTAAGAATGGATCGCAAATTATATGAATTTCAGTCAAACGTTTGTAATAATTAATTATAGTTTCTAATATTTCGGCACTTGTTTTGTAAGAAAATGCAATATTTTTTACATTTTCACATTTTTTCGTAATTATGGCAAAGAGGGCGAAATTTTCCAACAGTTTCCGGTTAATAGTAATATTGGTTTGCGTTTTATATATCATTCGTTGCCATTGAGTGGACACACATTCACACCGGAATCGGTCCTCAAATGACAGATAACTCAACAATACTTCACACAAATCGTCGCCAAACCTATCCATTGAGTCCAACGCATAGTTTGAGCACATTTTTGAAACAATAATCAAATACTGTAGAAAAATAAGTAAATTAATTATCATTAAATATCAATAGTTTTAATTATACCTTTAATGAAAACAATGCAATACAATAAACAGTTAACCAATGATTTCAAATAAATTAAGTAATTTTTTTACAAATTATTTACAATATTTTGTAAAAATAATATAAAGCTTGTGGTCAGTAATATTGTTGTGAATGCAATGAATGCTAGACACAAACTATACTTACTTTAATAGCATTACTATTCAATAATCAATAAGTTTATTATTTATTAATAACATACAACTCATAGACTGTAATATTTTTATAATGCGTGTGTTATTAATAATTACTTATTAATAATTAATATTGAAATACATTTGCACTTAAGATAAGTCAGATTAGCCCTGATATTATTGTTTCAATATTTTCAAATTGTTCAGTGACACTGTTGTACAGTATGTCCCAAGGAAGGGGCAGGGTAATTTTATAAACATTAGGTTTTATATTGGGAGATGTACAGTAAATCTTTACATTTTTATAACTTTTAGGCAAATCTTTTCTATTTTTAATATTTTAATGTTTAATTAATGTGTATAATTTTGGTAATATATAATTACGACAAATATAATTAATAAATTATGCAAT